TAGATCAAGTTTCTGGTCACATTAGCACATTGTGCTGGAGTTACACGCTGGGAATTGATTCGTTAAATCTATATTCCGTGTAATGATCAGCGCGGCGTGAAATTAACGCGGGATCGTTAATTAAATTAATAACCGGATTACGCTGCGTTGATCCTGTAATTATCATTTACACGCGATAAGGTTTAAAAGCCCGCCGCTCCAGGAAATCGATGTAATGCGTTACGATCGCGCGCAATCCCGCAGGAGTAGGCCTCTAATTAATATTCAATTATCTTTAACATATTGTGAAATTAGACGTGCGTTCTCGCCCCTTAATTCGGAGGTGCCTTTCCGCTCGGTAAGCGGCTGAAACAAGTGGCTCGGTCGAAGCCCGCGGCCGGCGACACACAATGATATCCTGCCGTCCCCAACCTCCCCCCCTCCCTCCCTCAGCCCCGCCGTCGAAATTATAATCGCGCCGTTTCTCGTTATTTTAGGATATTTATGATTATCTGCATTGCAATGCTCGTGTTGCCATCGCGTTAATCGGCGAATGGATGCCGCGTCGCGAGAGTGATGCACCTTCGATGCGATAACTCTTAAAGTTTCGCCGAGAATTGGCGGAGTTTTTTCCAGAATTCATTGCGATATCGTTTCTGGCCAGAAATTTGCCCGTTTGCAAAATTTTCCTGCGAAAACGCGGTCCGTCGGAGACAAAATCCGTTAAAAAGGACGCGCTTGTTTTATCCGGCGCAATAAAATCTCCAGACGCTGCACGCATGCATTAAAACCACGGGGGGAATTTGGAAATACAAGTAAAAAAGTGAACACATGCGGCCGCTTTACATAGAAAAATATTAAACATTAGATTCGCGTGTGGAATTCCGCATAAATCTGTGTGTTTACAAAGCTGCAAATGCGATAAACTAACTTCCTGCCCTCCTCTCTCTCTCTCTGGTTTTCTTTTTTTATTTCTCACCTTTCGCGAAAATTTACCGGTGCCGGATGCGCGCGGGGAGAAGTGATAACGATAACGTCGCGCGACGCGAAGATCGCTCGATACTTGGATGGGGGGAAGGGGGAAGCATACGCGGCAGGCTTTCGCCATTTAATATCGAAATAGAATTTAGTGGCTAAGGGAGAAAGAGACAGAGAAAGGGATGTAAAAGGAGGCTGGATGGAGGATGCAGGGGCGACCGAAGGGGCTCGAGAGGTCGGCGGCTGCCCCGAGCCCCGGTAAATCATTGGCCCGCCATGTTTAATGCAGCTTTTTCAATTGTTCTCGAGGTCACGTATTCACACCGCGATTCCTTCAACTACCGATTTACGGTCCGAGGACGCGGTAGTAACCAATGTCCGCGTCAGTGCACCGTGAGATCTCTCCGGTAATCTTCCGGATCTATTGGATCACTTTATCTCCCTTTACCGCGATATACTCCGTGGATTTCACGTCCGGCGGATCTATTTACGCGGCGAAATTTCCGGATTCGCTTTTACTTTCCGAGCACGGACCGCGGCTCGACCGCGGCCATCACAACAGGATCTTCTTCCTTTTTTTCCCTTTTTATTTTTGCAAAACCGACGCGCTGAAAATAACGTCGCGAGAGCGCAACGGTGGACCAACGAGCGGGATGGAGAGGATTGCGCGAATTCCGCGGCTGCAAAGCGATTTATGGGAAACGAAGGCGGGCTATAAAATAACACTTCCCATTCAAATCGGCAAATTAATGGTCGCTTTCGTGGATTCTTTGTTTGGGCCGCGCGACAATGGCGGCCTGCTGAGTTATTATCCTGAAATAGTGCGACAAAATTTCAGGAACGTCGGTCTTCGCAAATTTCCCTCCTCCCCGCCGCGGGCTGATAGATAATTTTCTAGTCAAAGGCCCGGCAGATAGAGGATGAAGCTAACGATGGAAAGAAAGGGATTCAAGGAAGTTACATCCGCGTAAAATTATATCCGCGTCGAGAAAGGTTCGAAAAATTTCCGCGGAGCTCTTCCCCGAGCGTCGATGAAACTGTGAAAATCCTCGAAATTCCAGATCGCGCAACTGTGATCTCGGATTTCGTTGGAATTCTGGGTTCCTCGGGTCTCAATATGGCGGGTTCTACATTTCCGAGTGCGAATTAAATTGACGGTACACTTTTGGACTGTCCGGACCCGAATTGATCGGCTTGCCTAGGCTTCGAAACTATTATCTAGTTTAGATACTTAAGTCTTCGCGGAAAGTTACTCCTCGTGAGCTTTAATCTCTCTAAGCACGAGGTGATTATAAAGTTTCTTATTAAGTTTCGCTGTAGCACCGCCACACGCATACTCGAGCCGCCATTGCGATACACGGCAGAAAAACTTCGCCGGTACTTCGGCTATATGTAATCCGCCCTCTGCCAAGAGAAGAAAATGCGAAAGTGCTTCCCATATTATTAGAACACGTCTCCCGCTCTCGTGAAACATTATTCGGGTAAGAAATATACGCGTTTGAACGACGGAAAGCTTTTGGATGATTTCTGTATGACGTTCCGCAGCATCAGAGTGATCCCGGATTCATTAATTCATCTCTAACGATTTTGAATCCGTGTTGTCGAAATTATTTTCACATCTCGCAGCGCCCTTTCTTTTTAAATTTACTTTTACTCCAAATTATTTTATTCCTTTCAATTTCTGTGCGTTATATCGTACAAGTTAAATATGTAGTCTCTTTCTCACAGCAACTAAAAATTGTTTCAACAGTTTCAGAATATTCCAGATCCATATTGGAATTACCAATATATTTTCAATTCGCAGTGTTTCTTTCCCAAATTTGCCTTTACTTTGACTACTTCTACTTTTATTTCCCGAATAATAATATTGTATGCATAAAATGCGTAGTTTTACATAGCGATAAAATTTTGCATCCTCCGGCTTTTATATTATATTTATTATTCTTCTAATATTTATTATTCTTCTACTATTCACAAGTTCGCTATTACGATACCGTTACTCAGACTCTCCCGTTATTCAGAAATCATTCAGTTAACGTCCATTTATTTGATAAACGGAAAGCTGCGCGACTGTATTCCCCCGCAATACAAACATCAGCTTGATATCAATGTACTCATCCGACATACTTCGCTACATATTTATCTGACGTTAAAGAGGGTTCTGCCTGATGTTCCATATTAGGATTGATGCGAGCTTTCACTCGCGGAAAATATGGCTTTCGCCGATGAAGAATCGCGATGAAAGACGGACGGAAAATCGACGGCGAAGTTTCTTCGGCTACGTCCGTTATAGCGGAAGAAGCGACAAAAGAGTCTCCACGCACGGAGGAGCTCGCCATCTCCTTTCAGCCCGCTTCCGACAGATCACACAGATAATTGGCTGAATTAACGAGGAGGCCACGTTCACGCGAAAGCGGAAGTTTCGTAAAATACCGTAACACAGAGGAGTGTGCGTGTCTCGTTTCCGTTCCGCGGCGATGTGTGACTTCCGTCGTGAGACGCACGCGGATTATCGCAAAGTGCGCGGAAACGCGGAGCATTACGCTCCAAATTGCAAAATTTAACTCCGGCTTCGCGCCGGGGGAACGTGGAAATTCGCAGCTGCAGCGTTCTGCAATGCAAACTGCGTCTTAAAATCGCAGTTTTACGTTAACTCGCGCCAAAGGAAAGTTAACTTCCGCCGGGAACAGCAGAGCCGCGGCGCGCCTCCGTCGCGCTCTCTCGCTGGCTCGGAGAGCACGACGTTCTTTTGCGTCAAGATCTATCTATCGCGTGTTGTCTGCGATCGCAATTGCGTTTTAACGTCCCGTGTTTCGTTGATTCGCGGAAAATGAAAATCGTTAACCGCCGCCGCCGCCGCTGGGAGCGGCGGTATCTTCGCCTTCACGATCACAAAGAACAAATATGGCGCTTGGACGTGGCACTTTGCGCGAAATGGATAGCCATCGCGTGTTGTAATTGGAGGGAAGTTGCATTTTGCCGATGCGTTCGCTGAAGGCGAATGGGATAAAATGGGGTCATTGCAGAGCAACTTGACTCGATATCAAACGCTCCGTATAATTGTTACGCTGATTATAAGTTTACAGGCGGAATAAAGAGAGAGCAAAAAAAAAAGAGATATGCAAACGCATATGCATATAATAACACATTTATACATATATATATAATACATACACACACACACACACACATTATGATGTATACAAGTAAATCGGATGTCAGGAAAATAAACTGCGCTCAAGGCGGGATTATCTGTCGACGGATGAATGCGTATATCGAATCCCTTTTCGCGGAAAATTGTATACCAATAATAGGAATTTATCCTTCGAATCCCTTTGCGTTTGATTTCCAAACTGATTTAATCTACACAGTTTGATTACTATTTAGACGCGTATCGAGGTGCGTTGTTGCTTTTCAAAGCGAACGAATAATTACGAGCGCTCATCCTTTTTTCTCCGTTTATTTACTTGGCCGCGCGTTTAAAACGCTCGGCGAATCAACGCGCTGAACGAATGAGATTTTGCGGCCAGAAAATACAAAGCCGAAAGATGTCTCACTTTGGCGAGACCCGAATGCGTGCGTGATGATGTGTCAAACGTCTCGTATAAGGTGTCAATTTCTAAAGCACTCAAATAGAGCAATATTATTCAGATTCTCCTAAACCTGACGCCTCTCAATTGTCGATCTCACTTAGATCGCGAGTTAAGTGTTTCAGTGAGTACGCGTTTCAATTTTGACCAAGGGTCTCGTAAAATATCTCATCAGTTTCTAAATTGCTCAAGTCATCAGTTTCCAAAGTCCTAAACTCGCGACATTATTTAAATTCCCCGAAACTTGGGACCTTTTAGCTGCCTCGATCCTGCTCGAATCGCGGATTCGAGTGTTTCAGTGAGAGTGTTCGTTTCAATTTTGACCAGGCGCCTCGGAAAGCTAAATATCCGTGAATCCGGAAAGCGCAATCCTGCTGAGATCGCGGATTCGGTGTGATCATCGGTGTGATCTCGCCTCGGCGAAGGAAAGAGAGCGAAGTGGAGGAAGGTTACCTTGAACCGGCGCGTAAATGTTGAGGTACAGGCAGTCCTCGCTCTGGTTCCTGAGGTAGGGCAACAGCCTCTTGAGGTACTCCACTCTGCCCTTGGGCATCTTGTCGCTGAGCTCGGGCAGCTTCTGGGGACAAACTGGACCGAACTTGTCGGCGACCTTCACACTGTGCCAAAGGGCGCCAGTGACAGGCGGCATGAAACGCAACGAGCCAATCGGCGGCGAGGCGTAGGGCACGCCGCGGAACACCTCGACGCCCTCGAGATATCGATCGAGGGTAACGATCACGCCTGACAGCTCGCCGTACTTAGTCCTGACGATCCTCGAGCTCAGCTGGGCGCTGCTGATCGCCAGGATCAAGCCGAACAGCACTAGGATCGACGACGACGACGACGGCGACGACGACGTCATCTTGATGCGGCGGTCACCGGCGTCACCCACCCTCCGCGGCTTCGGCGTCACCACCCCCCGCCCCGATCACTTCTTCCTCGCCGCTCCGACACCTCTCATATCGCCTTCCTCGTCTTCCGCCGCGACCACTTCCGTTTTAACCGCCGCCGGAGGCGCGGACGTAGTACGCGAGTCGCTTCATCTCGCGCTTCTCACCGACCTGTTCACCGCCCGGATACATCAATCTCTTCGAGAGCGAAGGGTCTGACGGGGGTTGAATCTTTCTTCAAACATATAGAGCAGCTCGAGATGACGATGGTCCCGGTTAGCGGATGTTGACGCAGGTCGCTCGCTAACTTCACGACTTCAAGCGAGTCTTCGCTCGGCCAGGCTGGCGATAATCATGATCTCTCGACACCGTCTATGGTAATTCCCAAGCGCTCGAGAATGGCTATCGTCTTCAACTGGATCTTCCGAAAGTCAAACGGTCCGTGAGGCGGAAAACTGACGAGAGATAAAGCAGATTTCCCCCGCGAGCGCTTCCCCGATATATCGATCTCGAGGGATTGCCATTCTTTTGTCCAAAGAATTTCGAGAGGAACACTAGACCGGCCGTGGCCGTTCTTAATCGTCTGCTCCAACGCGATTGATCTGAGGAAGACGGCGAGTTAATAGTGCGAGAAGCATCCTGAGTCACAAAGACCTCGGCGGATTCCAACGGTTCTGAAAACGGTTCTGTAATTCTCTCGCTCCAGATCTCCTCTTCTTGGTCATACACGTAATTGGAAATCTGATTATGCTTCATCAAAGAAGTTTAGACACTTTGCTGATGTCGTGACGGCGGCAGCGGCGGTGGCGGTGGCGACGGCGGCGGCGAAGACGAGCACATCCTTATTGCAAACATTATATTGTTATCTTTTCAACGTAATTACCATCAGCTCCGCCAACTTCGAGTTGCGAGTGTTAATAGTCTTCGCGTCTGATGTCTCGTCTCCGTCGTTCTAGCAAACAATAGGGGGGACTCCTCTCTCTCTCTCTCTCTCTCTCTCTCTCTCTCTCTCTCTCTCTCTCTCTCTCTCTCTCTCTATCTCTCTCTCTCTCTCTCTCTCTCTCTCTCTCTCTGTCTGTCTGTCTTGCTTTCTCTACATGTCGGGAGAGATCATCGCAAGTCTACTACTTAACGTCTGATCCGAAAACTAGTTATTTCTACACTGCCGCAGAGATAACTTCACACTCTTCCGCGGGATATTGGCATCGCGGATATATGACTTTCCACTTAGAAGCAGGATTTTTTTATTAGAATTTCGACGAGGACTGCCTCGTTTTCGACGAAAGAGACTCCCGTTCTCCCACTGTCGACCCTTCGCTCGTTGACGTATCTGAAGGAGCCTCACGCGTGTCTTATCGCTCAGACGAAGACTATCTCGTTCCTGATGGCGTGCTTAATGTGTCGAAAAAGATAAAACGCGCCGGCCCTAATCACGCCCAGTAGGAAGCCACCCCTCGGGTATTTGCCCGTTCGTTTCATCCTGACGAGCGGCGAGAGTGTGATGAACGACGAGAACAATTTGCGCTCAATCTCTCACTCCAGATTTCTGTGGACGGATCGTGGATGATCGTATCTAGCTGTCACATCTCGTAGGTGCATGTCGAGCTAGGGTCTCGATGAAGTTTCAGCGGAACATTCGTCGCTGCGAGTCGCCAGCGCGGAACGCTCTTCCCGTGATAGCCGTGACTCGCCGAAGCGAGCAACGGCACTGTCGTGCAGGAACTGACGGCGCTCCAGTTTCGGATTCTTAAAGAGATACAAAATATGGCGCGTGCGGCTATATTTTCCACGCACAATTCCGAGATATTCGAGCTCGAGCTAGCCGATGGAACACGCCGACCTGGGGATCCCTTATTCGCCGCGATTGGTCGATGTTCGAGGAGATACGCGTAAAGTCACGCACACCGTGCCGTTGAAATAAAAATAGCATCCGGAGAAGAGAGCCCTCTTGTCGCGCTCAAGAAACCCGTCACTCTTGCCTCGAGAAGCGCTGAGGTACGGTGTACCTCGTCTTGCGGCGAGCGCGCGAGACCTGCCCGGAAATGCGACACTATTCCCAGCTAAGTCAACAGCTTCAACTTTCGATTAACCTAATCGGGTTAAAATCGCACTGCGCGCTGATCAACGGTGTACTAACTACCCACAGCTCCCTAAATAGACACTCAGTAGACAGAAACAAATTAGAAGGATCTCTCTGCCGATTACTCCGTCGAGTTAGCACTTTCCTGATTCATCACTGAGCTACCATCTCCGATGGCTCGGCACAACACTAGATTAGGAGACCCGCACGCGCGCGCGCGCGCGCGCGATCATCATCGTTCCTCCGTCGCGGCGAATCGAACACTATCGAAGAGGGATTTCTTTTGCATACAGCTTCGCGGGAGGTATTATATCGCCTAGCCGCCTCCTCTCCAAGCCCTTCCCCCCTCCGGCGACAACCCTCTGGCGTCGGCGGGCTGTCCGGCGTATTTCTTCAAACTTCGGCGGGCCGAATCGGGCAAATCGTTTCCCGATAACGCCGTTTTATCGGACGTGCCGAAGTAATTTCAAGTTTCGTCCAACAATTGCGTCGGACGATCTTCCCGCCTGTCGGAGGCGAGCTCGCGGCGCGACCACCACCGGAATGAGCGAAAACGGTGCACCGAAAAATCCTGGGGGGGAGGAAGAGAGAGAGAGAGAGAGAGAGAGAGAGAAAAAGAGAGAGAGAAAGAGAGAGAGAGAGAGAGAGAGAGAGAAAAAGAAAGAGCGAGAGAGAGAGAGAGAGAGAGAGAGAGAGAGAGAGAGAGAGAGAGAGAGAGAGAGAGGGAGGGAGGGAGGGAGGGAGGGAGGGAGAGAGCACCAGAGAAAGAGGGTAGTGGGATTGGACCGAGGACGCGTAGCGCGGCCACCCCCGCGTTTCTTCCCTCGGCGAGCTATCCCCGTCGCGACTACCACCCTCTCTGGCACTGCACCGACAACGTCGACCTGAGCCGTGACATCGCGACGAGTTTCGCGCGGCGAGGTCAGAGTATTACCGCGAAAGAGTGAGAGCGCTGCTGGGACGCCCCGGACGGTACCGCGAGGAAAAGCAACCGATGCAGCCGTCACTTCGACCCCTGTCGTCGACAGACTGGCGTCAGGCGACGATGCTCGTCGTCGGCTGCGCATGCGCCGCGTAAACGCTCCGCTACCCGGCACGGGACATGGGCGGAAGTGCACCCTGTTGTGGTCGATACGGCAGGAGGGATCGATCATCCCCCGCACCGACCGGTGAGAGTTGTTGGTTCGAGTCCAGGGTTGCGAAACGCCGTACAGTTGTACCTTCGAGTTGATTCAAGCCTGCACCCTTTGTTTCAAGCAGCCCTCTCTCGTTTTCAGCCTATTCAGCGACACTGTTGGATTCTCCCTTGTTGTGTCCGAAGGAAAGCCGGCATGTTTTAGAGATTATGTGATAAGCGAGAAATAGTCGTTGTATGCCGGCCGTATATCGCCCGTCTCTCTCCATTGTTCCTTGTCAATCCGTGATTGGCCTCCTTCATTATGCTATCTATATTACGGCCGAGGAAGATGCGGTCGCTCTTTTCTTGTACAACGCCGTATCGAGCAGCTTTTTAACGTGTCTCTTTCTATCACACACATACACAGACACACACACACACACACACACACACACACACACACACATTCTTTCTCTCTCTCTCTCTCTTTTTCCCTTTCTTTCTTCCACACCCTCTGTCTTGATTTCTTTAAGTATGTGTATTTATAATTTCGGGATCAAATTGTTATTTCATTAATCATACGATAGATTATTATGTATTTATTACGTTTATCATACGTTGTCTATTACGTTAGTCACGTTTGTCGAGATATTTTATTAATTATATGTAGTACAGCGGATATTATATTTCGCTCAATTGCTCGGAGTCATTTCTCACGATAAGTTTAAAGAACGGCACATACAAATCATTTTATCAGCTCCGAAGCGCAATTCCAACTCGAACAAACAATCAGCCGTGAAAAATGCACGGATCAATGAGTCTGTCAGTTGTTCAATTGTCGACGAATCAGTGATTATTAAATCAACGTAGAATGTAAATGTCAGCCGATAAACAACGACACAATTACTAGTTAGCGGGATTTATTTGACAAGTTCGTTTGCGCGCATAAATTGCGCAATTTTGCAGCTCGCAATAAAGAATCGCCCTATCCTCCCTCTCTACTCACTCCCCTTTTCCCCTACCCCTTCCCTGCCGATCGTGGACATTGGAAAATGCAGGCACCGGGCGAAATAAAGCAACTTTTTAACGAGAATTTCCGGAAACCGGGCGCAGCTGCGCAAAGAATTTCCGCCGCGCGAATCGCCTTCGCGCTTCACCGCAAAGTTACCTTCGTTAACCAATATCTTTCCCCTAACAAAGCCGCGCAAATTATCCTGCTGTGTTATTCTTTACTCCACACCCCCTCCCCCCGTCTCATCGCCTTCACTTGTCGAGAGAGTCTCTGACGTATCCTTTCACTATCGTGTTATCTTTTGATACACCGCGCCCGTCGTCCCTTTGATACAGCGTTATCCTTCCAGTGCGCTGCTTATTCAGAACTTCGGTGATCCCCCCGGCTCGGCTTTTTACTTGAATTACACGCGTGCGGAATGTGCGAAGAATGCCGGCGCCTCAGATACAGCGAGCCATCTATCATCCGCGCCGACAAATGACAGCGTTCTTTCGGGACATTCTGAATGTTATCGCGTCGAATCGATCGGTCGCGAATCGACCGGGTAATCTGCGTGCAAAGTGCTTCCCCTACAGCGCGTTATTTTATGCGCGACCTTTTCGCACATCCGAGCGCACCCCGGCGCCGCGCCTCTATTTTCCGGTCGCGAGAGGTCCAATTACCCGGAGCCTTTCCCGTGGTGAAAAATCAGGAGCAACTTTCCCGCTCGGACAGATACGAGGAATAATTGGACGGAGAAGTGACTGAGGACGGAGGAGTGGGGACGGTTAAATATTTGCAAAGTCAACGCGAGGGGCGTCGCGCCACCCTCCGAGGGGGTGGAAATTGGCCGCCTCCGGCCGCAAAGCCGTCGAGCGGAAATCCACGCCGAGAACGTCCCCTCGTTTGCGACACGAAGATGCAACCTTTGCAGGAGTCACTCGTGCAAGAATTCGAGGGTGCCGTCGAAACTACCAAGCGAAGTCAGAAAATAAGCTAACCGATTCGTCCAAATTTTTATTTGTATTGTCATACATTTATATGTTTTAAAAACATGTACTTATACGTCGCAAGAATAATATACATTCGCATACATTATTTTTAAACGTAATCACTCTCTCTCTCTCTCTCTCTCTCTCTAACTCTCTCTTTGCTGAAACAGGGAAAACAAAATGCTGCTGGTATGTATATATGAAAGATGGAAATTTGTTCACGTAGCCATTTTTGCATTTTACGTTTCACATAGTCATCTGATTGGAACTGCGCGTCACAAAGATGTTTTCTCATTCTTGAGAAGCGTACGATTCCAATCAGATGAACGTGTCAAACATAAAGTGAAAGTGGCTGCGTGAAGAGGTCCCATCCTCCACCGACAGATTTTGTTTCATGGATTTCTCGCTTAGACGAGTGCTTCGATAAAAGGGGACAATGTTGAAAAATAGCGTACGGATATATATTTTTACGACTATGTCACGCGTATGCCACAGGAATAAAATAGTAAAAATTATACGAGCTGGAAATCTTATTTTCTGACTTCTCCTCGCACAATCGCGCGACAATCCTAAGCTCGGAAGAAGCTAAGATCTTGAGAATCGAAACACCCGACGATACAAAAATATCGAAGTTTCGGAGGGCAATTTTAGAAATCGAGTATCCGTGAAGGACCTCGGAAATTTACTACTGATTTGAGAATTTGATTCGACGAACTCTATTCCTCCCTCTCTCTCTCTCTCTTAGTCTTTCTGTCTCTCTCTTTCTCAAGAGAGGGAATAATACAAGAAGGGCGGTGCGGTTCCGTAAAGTAATAATTTACGAGGACGAATCTT